TGTTTATGTATAACTTAATACAAATATTTCCGTAGCAACTATAAAACTTTGATTGCAAAATAAGGTTAATATCATGGCTTCCAATAACCTTGGTTTTCTTTTTAAGTTATTCATCGTATTTAATTGTATTCAATAAAACAGCAAATTATTTGTAGTGGTTTTATTAAAATATTATATGGATTTCAACCTGCTAAATCGGTATCTAATCATACATGTCATCTAATATGACAAAATTCTATTAAATCAGTTACCCAGTTGAAGTACACTTTCATATGATAAAATAGAAATATAAAAAATAACTTGTTTCTATAATAAATACATTTTGAAGATAGTTGCTTTAAAAAGCGAATTGAAAGTAATTGAAACTTGAAAACCAATTTATTATATTCAAGGTTTAAGAGTAAAATGATTTTAGACCTAATTAGTTTTATAAAAAATAAAAAATATTAAACCTTTGTTCGTTTTTGTTTCCATGAAATTGCTAACAAGCCAAAGCAATGGACTAATGGTCGTGTCTTCCTAACGCGTTTTCAGTACGTAAACTGTACCTTCATCCCCTTTTTTATTTACCATCGGCAGCCTCTTTATTGCACCAACTACTATAACTTTGCGGCGATTATAAGATACAATGATACATGTATTAGTTTAACAAATTTTCTCTTCTCAATGGGTATTTTCTTTATTTAATTGAGATTTCATTATTGCCCATATCGTTGTCAAGGTAACTTTCTATACATCCATGCATGACCTTACATGTTAGGTAACTTAACGAACTAATCATTAGTGTTGTACAATTTTGTAAAAAATAGAAAGTTATTCTCAAATGGAAAAATAAAGTGTTTTTTTACCCAATTTTCCATTTAGATATCTATTTGATTTTTAAGGTTTTTTTATTAGTTAAGTTTTTATAGTTTTTTAAAAAAGTAAATTATAAATAATTTATTATAGGTTGATTTTTAATAAAAATGTTAATATGATATCTAAATAGTGTCAATTTAACAACATTATATATAGTTTTTCTGGTGGTGTAACAATTAACAAAAAGATCATGATGGCTTTTTAATCGATCCTAATAAATATTATATAGTTTTTCTGGTGTAACAATTAACCTCGTAATTTGTGGATTTTCCTAGGAAAGATCAAAATATTGGTTTCTGCCTTCCATTACAAAAGTCAAAGCATGTGTACTCAAAGTCAATACTAAATTCTACATTCCATGTACGAGGCGACCCATTATTTCAATACTAAAACATTTAAAAGTCAAAAACCAAATAAAATTATATAATTTATTTATAGCTTTATTTTATGGATAATATATAATAGGAATTCCTATTTATATATTCTTTTAAGAGGTAAACGGTTGTTTGATAAACTATTTTAGAGGTCATGTATAAGGTTTAAGGTTGAACATTTAACTAAACGGACCAAAAATATTTTATAGAAATTTATGGAATTTGGACTGGACTTGTTGAAGTTTATTTTGTCCAAATTTAGGTGCCGTTTGGAGGTCCAAATGCAATCAGTTGATATTTAACGCGTTTGATACAACCTGTAAATAATCTTTAAACGAATCAAATGTCTATGAACGATTTTGAACGTTTGAGGAGCTTTATCTTATTTTAACCATTAAAATGTTGAAGTCATTTAACACCAAATAATCTGGTTTATCAGAAAACTCCTAAAATCATACTTATATCTCTTTTCTTTAGTTACGCCAACCTAAACTCTATGTCTAGATAGGTCGTTTTGTCAAAAAAGTTAAACAAAGGGAATAATAAAACACAAAACAGTAACCTACTATTATTATTATTATTATTATTATTATTATTGTTATTATTATTATTTTAAATGGTAATCAATCATGCAATATAAATGACTAGTTATACCCTTATACCTTATGTTTAAATATTTAATAGAGCCAATTACATAAATAGTCCCTTACTTTTCGGAAATTTCTTACTTTTAGTCTATTTTTTTAAAGGGATTTTCTAATATGTGCCCTAAGGGCACATATAAGTAGTATTAATTAATCATAATTATTACCATAATTAAATGTGAAATGCATTAATTATAGAGATTATTAATGAATTTTATATTTAATTATGGTAATATTTTTTATAATTAATGTGTTTAACATTTAATTATGGTAATAATTGTGATTAATTAATACTTCTTATATGTGCTTTAGGGCACATATTAGAAAATCTCTTTTTTAAATTCATAGCTTTAGTCACTGAAGCCCCATATTGTTTATGAGCGATGTGAAAATGTGTCACATGGGACTCACATGAGGACATTTCTTCATTGAACACTTCTCTCATATGTGATATCTATCTAACATCTATTTAGTTTTCATTCTCCTATCTCCACTATCATCTCTCATTTCTCCTACTAAAGATGTGTTCACACACATACGATTAATCATTGTTAGCCCAAAAAGCATGATATGTACATGTGGTAGCACTTCAATCATTGTCATTTATTGGACTAACAACGATCTAAACAATTAATTTTACACATGCCCAAAGTATTGGTTCAAGAGCTAGTTTATAGGTTTGGTTGACCCACTTTGGTACCCTTGATCAATGGACATAATCCCTAGTTTGCTAAGGTCCAAGAACAACATAGATGTTAAAGCTAGAAGATTGATGATGTTGTTGGTTCTAACCTGTTTAAATGATATGGTCTTTATTGTTCAATGTTGATCCTAAGTACTAATGATCTATTCGGTTTATTTTGTACACTTTATAATGTTGAATGTGATATCATTGTTTGTATGTGGCCCTCACATTGGTAAGCTCATTTTTCATTTTTTATCTTGCTTGACATTGTGACTTTATGAATATATTCCTTTATCTTTGATACAAATTTTTATATATGGTTAATGTTGGCAGTTAGAATTAGATAAAGGGATTATTATACAAGATAAACAGTTACCACAATGACTACTAAACCCAAAAGAACTCCCAGACCCACTAGTTATCACACGTACCAATATGCTCTACGTACTATCCTTGATTGCATCGTCTTTCCCTTCGGTCTTTTTTCTTTCATCTTTTAATGGAACACCCTTTATCATTCTCTTAATGATATGTCTTACTATGATTATACAGTTACCACATACTCCTTAGTCCTTATATTGCTTAGAAGAATTCACTGGATGATAGTCTACACTTGAGGTGTTCATGAACCCTTACTACAAGCTTGTTGGATCTTAGCATGCACACTTTGCATGAGTTATTACCATGAGTTATTATTACCAAAAATACATTTCCCCATCTCTCTCTTTTTTTTTTTGAAACGGACATTTTCCTATCTTATATTGATATTTTGATGATTTTTACTTTTATTGAGTTGATCTGCCTTATAAAAAAACAATAAAGTTGGTTAATGGTTGCAATTATACCTTATTTAAAATAATGGCCGAATTTCCGCTCATTGATACATTCTACAATAATCTAAGGGAAAATGACTTATTAAGGTAACTAACTATTTCAATTGTCCATATATAGGTAATGTTCATTTTTTTGTACACATTAAGGTAACTAACTTGTTTTGTTTGTTCACATTTAGGTAATATGACCGGCTATCACCTGTTTTTGCTTATGTGGCATCCACCTGGCATTACGTGGCATGGTGCATATATGGGAAAATGACTTATTAAGGTAACTAACTATTTAAATTGTCCATATATAGGTAATGTTCTTTTTTTTATACACATTAAGGTAACTAACTTGTTTTGTTTGTTCACATTTAGGTAATATGACCGACTATCACATGTTTTTGCTTATGTGACATCCACCTGGCATATGACTTGAATACGTTACACCTACGTGGCATGGTGCATATTTTGTCTTCATTCGATTACACTATAACTGTGTCATACGATTCCACCCCTAATTCTAAACCCTAGATCGATCGATGATGGCTTCTTCTTCCTCATCTTATTCTTCAAAATGACAAGATGAATTTCAAGCTGATTATCGATTGCGGTTTACCATCTCGTGTGAAGATTTCAAGAACTCCTGCAACATATTCAACAATATTGATTTACCATCGAGTTTTAACGAACTCTAAATTTTCTTCCATGGTTGTCAGGAGTTCTTGAAATCTTCACACGAGATGGTAAACCGCAATCACATGGATGATCAGCTTGAAATTCATCTTGTTGTTTTGAAGAATAAGATGAGGAAGAAGAAACAAAACAAGTCATATGTCAGGTGGATGCCACGTAGGTGTAACGTATTCAAGTCATATGTCAGGTGGATGTCACATAAGCAAAAACATGTGATAGTCGGTCATATTACCTAAATGTGAACAAACAAAACAAGTTAGTTACCTTAATGTGTATAAAAAAAAAGAACATTACCTATATATGGACAATTGAAATAGTTAGTTACCTTAATAAGTCATTTTCCCATATATGCACCATGCCACGTAATGCCAGGTGGATGCCACATAAGCAAAAACAGGTGATAGCCGGTCATATTACTTAAATGTGAACAAACAAAACAAGTTAGTTACCTTAATATGTACAAAAAAAAGAACATTACCTATATATGGACAATTGAAATAGTTAGTTACCTTAATAAGTCATTTTCCCATAATCTAATGATTTACTTAACTTATATATACGTCATATATATTATTTAAAAACGTTTAAGATAAACGATATTAATTTTTTTAGACTAAAAGAATCAATATTAGGGAGACACGTTGAAGAAAGAGATATTTTATTACATCACTTAAAGTCTTGGACTTTTTTTTTTCTTTTATACAACAAAATTATGAATATGACCCTCTCTACTTCTATTATTTAAGTATTTAAACAAATGTACAATTTCATATTTAAAAATAAAAAATTCAAGAAAAAGAAAACAAAAACAAAAAAAGGAGAATAGATTATACAAGCTTTCCAGTTAATCATCATCTCCTTCGTAATGATCACCACCAATTTCTGATGATCGGCGATGGCCACAACTCTGTGAAACTCCATTCATTCAAGAATCAAACGAAAATGGAGGTTTTAAAAGATCATATGGAGCCCAAAGTGCATCCAGAGGACATGGCCTTTCTGCATCAAGTCTCACCCATGGCTTCCCTTTACCACTCCAATGTAATAGACTCACCGGTCCCGGATGTAGATCACGGCAAAGACCCCGGAAATTATCACCGCCAAGTCCATGTTGGTTCCATCTGTGATCCACCGGAGCTATCTTTCCGGCAAAAACAAGCAAGAACGGTGGAAGAGAACCCAGTTCGTAGATTCTCATTCTTTTCTGCAGTTCCATCCATTCTTCAATCTTTGTTGTGTAACCACCAGCACGCCACCGGTCTAGATCGATAACCATTACGCCGGTATTAAAGTAACAAGCTTTCCGATTGGCAAAGGTTAAAGATAGAGACGGGTTTGACCAGAAAGAAGGTGTGAAGTAGAACGTGAAGTTAGCGTTACAATATTCCGGTGCCGCGAGGACGGAGTCGTATCCGAGGGGTGTGGCGGCGAGCTTTGCAATGTCGTCGACGACCACCAGGTCGGAATCAAGATACACGACTTTACGAACGTTAGGTGGGAGTATATTAGCAAGGTAACTCCGAGCATAATTGAGTGGGCAGTCGAGGGCGGAACGTATGGAGGTAGAAATAAGTCCGGCGACAAAAGAATCATCAAACCTGTAAATTTTAAATTTCAGGTAAGGAAACGAAGTAACGATGGTGGCGCGTAAGAGTGACGCGTCTGAAGAAGCGGAGGTGACAAAGTGGAAGATAATGTTCTGTGGGCAGGACGAGTGTTGGAGGACGGAAAGTATGGCGGCCATTGATCCGCGGATGTAGGTAACGTCGAGGGTCATGGCGACGTGAACGGCGGAATCATCGTAGGTGGTCAAAGTGTCGGTGTCGTAGTCAATGTCGGTGTGGGGGCATTCTGCAGCGTTGTAGAACTTGGGAGCTTCTTTAAATCTTTGCGAAATAGAGGTGGCGGTGGCAATGGCGATGGTGGAGAAGAGGAGGAGGAGAAAGGAAGAGAGCGGTGGTTTGCGGCGGACCATGATGGGTGGGGTGGGTGGTTGGGTGTTAGATATTGTAGAGTGATTTGGTGGTATTTAAGAGGGGAGGGAGACAGGGGTTTGATTGGGTTTGAAGTATGGAGATAGGAGTTGGACACGGTTTTGTAAAGTACATTTTTTTTTTTTCAATTTCTGAAATTTTTTTGAATCATTTTAAGAAACAATTATTATAAAAGTAAAGAACTAATAATAAAAGTGGGAATTAGCTGTAAGCTGACCTGACTGACCGGCCAAACAACGAGTAAACGAAAGAATTCAAAAGCGAAAGATATCAAAAATACCCCCACCATATTTTTCTTTTTTATATTTCCAATCATTTAAAATAAGAAACTTTTTTTTTCTAACAGAATTTTAAGATTTTGTATTTTTTTTAATCTTATTTAACAAAACACTCGACTTTTTATGGCTACAGGATGTGAAACAAAAGAAGAATGTCGTATGATTATACGTACATTGGGAAAATACGGGAACACCACCTCCGATCCTTTTTTTCCTTGTCATAAATCAAAACTTTCTGCACACCTCCTCATATTTCTTCATGCCACACACACAGATCTCTCTTTCTTCTTGAAAGGAGAGTGAGGGGAAAGGGGAAGAAAGAGACAATTGAGGGTTCTCAATGTTGATTTTTAAAAAGAAGTATGATTCTGTTAGTTTGAGTTCCCTTTTTAAAATATTTTTCTTCTTGAGTTTAAAATAAAATATGGATTAACTTTCTCATTTCCTATTTATTACATTGCTGTGGAAGACACAATGGAGCATAGGTACTTTACATCTGCTAGGATCAGGGAATGTGATCTTGCTTTATCAATTTTTTTGTATGTTGATGATGCACAGTTTTTGGGTGAGTGGAATCCAGAAAATGTTCAGAACTTGTTTAGATTTTTGTGATGTTTCTACTTAGCTTATAGTCTTAAATATAATTTGAATTCGTCGAATCTAATTGGATTTTGGGGTAGGAGCATCCTCATGTTTAGTTGAAGAAATGGAGAGAGAGATACGGGTTCTTCTACAACTTCTTTCACATTCTACTATTCTAGTATTTAGGTTTACTGTTAGAATTAGGGATAAGCTTTAGAACCGGACCGGTTCGGAATTGGAACCGGACCGCCGGTTCTAGTGCCGGTTCCGGTTCCGGTCCCGATTTTCTAGTTATTTTTCAAACTAGAACCTGTTGAAATGTTCTAAACGATATGTTATCTTCCGGAGCTTGTAAATAATTCAGTATTTAACCAAATTATGATTTTTTACATTCTAAATTTAAGTATAAACACTAAATTACATGATGAAAAAAGAATCAAGTAATTCTGACTTCATATAAATCAATTATGCGCATTTCAAAAGCGGAACAGATTCCAAAAAAGAAAATGTTGAAACAAAAAATATGCAACATTAATATGTTGTCTTCCGAGGTCTCTAACTGATTGAATATCTAACCAAAATATGTGTTTGTACAATTTAAAATGAAGCACAAACACCAAATTACATGTTAGAAAAAAAAATGAAATAATTCCGATGTTAATTGAATGAGTCATGCACATTTAAAAAAACGGAACAAATTCAAAACAACAAAAAAACAAGTGCTGAAATAGAAAAAACGCATCATCAATGTTCTATCTTTCAACGCATGTGTTTAATTCAATATCTAACCAAAATACATGTTTGTATAGTAAAAAATGAATTACAAACTCAAAATTACATATTGGAAAAAAATCAACTAATTCCAACTTCATATAAGTGAGTTATGCGCATTTTAAAAAACGAAAAAAAAAATATAAAACCGGTTTTGGTTTTAGAATCGGGATCGGTTTTCATAAAAACGGAAAATCGGCAAATGGACCTTATTACCAATTCCGGTTCCAATAGTTCTGTTGCTCATCCCTAGTTGGAATCAATATGGCGCTGGTAGATAGTAACAAAGGGATTCCTCATAAATTCTTTGTAAAAACCTTTCAGTCGTAAGGTTAGGAGTACCTTTACACTTTGTTCCCAAGTTCTATTTAAGGAGGGATATTGATGGGAATAGAGAGAAAACGAGGGATATTGAAGAAAAATCGTGTTCCTAAGTTTCATTAATGGAAGGAAAGTGACCGGAAGGAAAGGATTTTAAAACCATATTTTCCTTCCAAATTGGATGGATTTAGGAAAAAAATGAAGGAAAGTAAAATCTTTAAGCTTATTTTCCTTTTCCTCTCAACTCAAAAACTAAAAAACTTAAAAGTTTCCTCTCATTTCCTCCAAACTCGAGAACATAGAATAAAGAAAAATTTTCTTTCCCTTCCTTTCCTTTTGAATATTATCCTTCCATTTCCTTTATTGAATTTACAGAAAAATAGGTTTTTTGAAAAAAAAAATTACAAGAAAAATGGAATTTTTAAAACGCGTTAAATCCAACAATATTTCTAAAAATTTCATGTAGAATTAAAATTTTTTATTTTTCAAAATCCCAAAGAAATTAGAAATTTTTGAAAACCAATAGTTATTGTTTTCTATATTTTTCTAATTTCAAAACATTTCTGAAATATAAATACACACCGATACTCACACATTCACCTCTCCCTACCTCCAACTCATGACACCTACCCACCCACCCCCACCTCACCCCTACAAACACATACCCACCAACCGCAATCACCGACCTACCATCGCCGCTTCCACTATCCCATCACTACCACCATCACCACCACCCTGTTACTACTGCCACTTCAGTATCACCACCACAACCGTCACCATTATCGTCACCACCACTGCCGCCAACATCGCCACGATTACCACCAGCATCATCACCTTCACCACCACCACAACTTGTCATCACCACCACCGCCGCCTCCACCCTAATGTTGCCACCACCATTGTCGTCGCCCCCACCACTACCAACACATCCTTCACACAACCACCCCACACCACCTACACCGACCCTATCGCTACTACAGTTTCCTTAAAATGAAAACCGATAGAAAATACACATCTAAACACGTTTTCTAATATTCTAAAACCAAAAATGAGAAAATAATAAGTTTTAACTAAACACGTTTTCTAAATTCTCCATTGAAAATTGAAAACGAAAATTGAAAATGGAAAATGGAAAACGAAAAATATAAACCGCTTTCTGTAACTAAATGCGACCTAAAATAATTTCCTTCGGAGGTCTATTCACTCTCTCGAAATCTAAGATGGAAATTCCAGGTATTTTTACTTGTCAAAATTTAAAATTACGGAAAAAAATTCATTTATTGGAAGCAAATCGGGCTAGATTATTTTGGGGATTAGATTCTTCTTAAAGAAAGACTAGCTGGGTGAAATAAGATCATTATTGTTTTAGCTTCTAGACAAAATGGAGGTGTTGGAGTGGATAGATTGTGCGGTTTTTAATGTTGCATTTATTTTCAATTAATGAGGGTGGTTTTTTTTGTAACATCCCAAAAACCATGATCAAAATTTTTCATTTTTATAAATGTATTTCCACAACAAACCATAGATAAACAACCATTGTTTTCAAATCATATCCCATAAAATCAGAGTATCAAATCAATCTCTCAAAACGTAAAGCAATATAAGGATATGTACGATTACGCATTCACCTTCTCCTTATCATCACAAGTACCTGAAAACATGAAATCAATAAAGCTTAGTGAGTTCTCCTAAAATAGCCACACGACAATATATATATATATATATATATATATATATATATATATATATATATATATATATATAACGCATTCTAGGTCCATAGTCATCAGACTGGATTACCCTCGGGTCCACAATCATTAGACTAGATTACCTATGGGTCCACAGTAATCAGACTAGATTACCCCCGGCCCACAATCATTGGACTAGATTGCCCCCGATCCATAGTCATCTAGATTCCCCCGGGTTTGTTGGATTACATCATAGAGCAATTGTGACATCCCCAAATTCGCAATCATTTAAAAAAATTATTTATGCTTATTTGAAAATTAGAGTATTCATTGTAAAGAATAATACTTCGGAATTTGTTCTCAGAAAAAAAAACATGATAAATATAATATCAAATCATTTTCGAAGAAATGTATTTTGTTTATATAAAAACTTTGGGATGTCATCGTTAATATAGAAACATAAGCATAAAACATATATTACATTCATTTACACTAGTGGTTTACATCTCTCTTAATTTCTCAGTGTAATGTAGTTTCATATTGACACCTGTGATACAAATAAACTGAGTGGGTCAAGTTGGGAAACCTTGTGAGTACATAAGGTTTTTAATCCACAATAATAAAGTTATTATGTTTCATCATCAAACAATTAACCCAATTACCCATCCCCATTATCTTCTTTATTTCTTAAGGATCTACCCTAAGAATCATCTATCATTCACTCATTCATTCCTAAGGATTGTCCTAAGGAATAGGCACGAAGTCCATCGCTGCCGATGTTCGTTTGTAAGGTATTAAATCCATAACTGTCAGGGTTTATCTCTTTATTAACAATATTATTTTAGGGAGTCCCTCCACAATATATGTCAATGGGTTTTTAGAGTACATCTGGTGAACACATCGTTCATAACACATACAGGTGGTGAGCCTGCTAGTGTTCCACTGGACTGTCTAGAAGAGTCCGTAGTTGTCATATATACTCTGCTAGATGACTAGGCCATCGCTTCTCGTCATCTTTCACCTCTCATCATCTTATCAGCTCTCATATCTCATCATTCATCTCATCTTTAATCTCTCATCTCATCTCATCTTTAATCTACCTATCTTTACCCATCATAATTATAGGTATAAAATATGTATACAGTTTAAATCGAATAAAACATGTATATTTTGTTCATCCAACATATATATCAAGAACATAGATAATATGCACACATAACACATAATTTATATTAAATATGAGTACTTCATATCTATGTGTAAGATGAAAGTAAATATGCACTCACTTGTTAAAGTGATGATTCCCAACTCGGGCAACGCTTCGCTTCTTACAATTCAATT